GTATGAAAATCCACGCGCAATACTCCAAAGACCAAAGGCAACGTTGATCCAGTGTCGAAAGGTCGAGGCGAGTCAGGATCAAGATATCCCTGATTGCCTACCCTCAGACGAGTCGCCGTCGGACAAATTGCCGTCGGAGATGCGAACGTTGGATCTAGCGTCAGTCGCGAGTGAGGAGTCGGATCTGTCGACCATCACATACGAAGACTCTATATCGCATGTCGTAACGGTTAAGGAGGCGCTAGAAGATCTCGATCAAGTGACGCCGGACATATGGGCGACTTGGTGGGCAAAATTACAGACATGGAAGGAATGCGAGAAGAAGATGACCGAGATGAAATTGAGGATGTCAGTCTGGATCAACTACACTCGAGAGACCAAGATCAAGGAACATCGCCGTCGAAATGTGGCGGATCGGACCTGTCATCAATGATGAGTGTACAGCCTGGGACGGGACATGTGACCGGTGATCCGTTGAACGACAAGTGCGACGCATCTATGTCGCAAAAAAACGGACAGGGATCCATCACCTGTTGTTGAAGATCAACCAGGCACATCGGATCTGGACCTTACCTGGGACTCAGATCAAGATTATGATGAATGCGTGTATTATCATGAAGGAAGCGATATATACGCCGAAGATGTCGATGATCAGATGGCGGTACTGCCGGAAGTACCTGTGACGACGGAAGATGTGAGGATCGAAGATATCCAACTATGCGATCTGATAATCAGACTCCGGAGGAGATTGAGCGACTTCGCCAAAAGATCTGGAAGTTCCGACATCTCTTGATCGGTAAGGGAAATGCCCTTCCGCCGGCAGCTAGAGGCGTGGTGTGTGATATCGATGTCGGGGGAGCGAGACCTATCGCCCTCAAGTGCCGTAAGTTGCGGATCCAGTTCAGGGAGAAGCTGGCAGACCTGAGCAAGGGTCTATTGTCTGCCAAGATGATTAACTATTCCAGATCACCATGGACTTCCCCAATCGTGGTGATCATTAAGAAGTATGGGGTGGATATCAGGCTATGCATTGATTATCGGCTGGTTAATAGCCTGACACAACTGATGGTATACCC